CAACACTTTTGAAGCATTCTAAGGAAGCTCAACACCTACCTTGTTCTTGAATAGTCTTCTCCTGGTTCATTTCCTATTAGAGCACAGAAAAACAGTAAAGCAAGCAAGATCTTTTATCTCCAACTAGTTGAGGGTAAAATTGTTTCTTTACAGAGGAATAACTGAAAGCACTAGGTTTTCATGCATATATTTAGCCTCATTCACTCCCTAATCCATAGGCTGATCACGCAAGTATCACCAGTCTGAAAATGAAATAAAATATAAGGTATGTTCTTCACATTTGTCAATGGAAACTCTCACACTTCACTTTCTGGTCTACAAATCTCTCCAAAGAATCTTAGAGAAAGTATAGAGTTTAGGGAAACCAATAAATGGTTCAGACCAACAGAAAGACTGTGTGAGCACAAATGTACAATGCAAAATTAATGGGTCAAATAGATATGTGCTGCAGTACTTCCAGGCCCCCCAAAACACCACTCGTCTGCTGGGGAAAACCTATTGTTACACTCTCTAAAGTATTACCAAGAGACCATTGGTGTCATCCACTTTTCTTACTCTCTTCCATTTCATCAAGGAGATTTCCCATTTTATCAACCTATCTGACATCCCTTCCACTATTAAGTCCAATGACTCGATGGCTTAATACGTTTAATAAATTGGATCTACTTTTTCAAACACAAACTGAATTTTGCATGAGGACTAAGCTACTTTAAATATTCATGACAGTTAAAAGAAGAAGAGGAAGGAAGTACATTTTTTAAAGAGAGAGGGGAAAAAAGGAAATGAAAAACAAAGGGAACCATTACTTTAAAAAATATATCAAGGAAATAAATGGATGACATCTTTTTAGTTAGTGTAGGAGAAAAGAGAGCTGTATTGTGGGTCATTTTCTGGTGCATCTAATGGGTGAGAGAGAGTATTGCATAAGCCTCTGAGTAATCACAGAGTGATACAAATGATCTCACTTCCATTCTTGAACTAACCTAAGATTTCCCAAACTCCACACGCAGATACTATTCACACCTTTAGCACTTGAGCAAATGAAAGAGAGAAAAAATGGGAAACTGTTCAGCCCATCAAGAAATTTCAGAGATGCCCTTACTTGAATGGTTGCCCCAGGCAAGGTATAAGTGGATTACAAAAAGGTAACAGCAAAAAGCTAGAAAAATAAATCTTTATAGATTCTTATAAAAAGAAATTATTTGTTACCTGACAATGGTCTTAAAAGAAAGTTTGTATACTGCAACTTATTGAGTAGTTTTTTGTGTTTTTTTTTTAAATCCTCATCCGAGAATTTTTTTTCTATTATCTTCAGATAGAGTGGAAGGAAGGAAGGGAGGGAGAGAGGAAGAGAGAGCAAAATATCAATGTGAGAGAGACACATTTACTGGCTGCTTCCCGCATGACCCCGACCAAGGCCAGGAATGAACTGCAACTGAGGTACATGCCCTTGATGGGAATTGAACCTGCAACTCATTGGTCTGTGGGCCAATGCTCGAACTGCTGAGCCAAACTGGCTAGGGCTTATTGAGTATTTTCAAGGACTATTATTACAGGTAACATATAAGACTAAGCCTTATGTATGGTGGCTATGATGACGACTACAGTTCTAAGAAAATTTGGCTCTCCTAATTAACTTGTAGAGCCCATCACATGCTCTTCTTTGCAATGATTGAAAGATCAGAACTCACTTTTGAGCTTATCTTAATTCTTCAGTTCTTATTTTTAATAGATTTTTATTCATTTAGAGAGAGAGGAAGAGGGAGGGAGAGAGAGAGAAAAACATCATTCAGCAGCCTCTTGCACACCCCCTACTGGGGATGGAGCCCAAAACCCTAGCATGTGCCCTGACCAAGAATCAAACCTGAGAGCTCTCTGTGCATGGGACGAAGTTCAAGCAACTGATTCACACCATCCAGAGCAATTCTCTAGTTCTTAATAATGTTTTCCTATGACATTCCTTGTAACTAAACCTCACCTTCATTATTCTGTGTCCCTTATTTTGCCTCATCTTGACTGTTTTTTTTACCTTCTGGCATGAATAAAATTATTGCAAGTCACTGCAAATGTTTTTGGAAAAAGTTAATTGATACTTAATAAATGCCTTAATATAAAATATTTTCTGCTTCTAAGAAAACTCACAGTCAAATAAATAAGGTTGAAAATATTTTTGAAATATTACATAATGAATTGAGGTCATAAGAGGGAAGCCTAAAATAAATATGACTTAAAGGAAAATGAGATCACATACAGGAGTAAAAGGTCAGTGAAATGAGCATTGAATGATAGAAGAAAGCTAAAATGTGAGGGTGTGAGGGCTGAAAGAACAAAGTAGGGCACATTTACAGCATGTTAACTTCAGATGCTATTTGGCAGAAGCCTAGGATATTGGAGATAAGGCTAGCAAGACAGTATAGAAGAAAGTGGGGAGAAATGATTGTAAATGTCAAGGCAGCTGAAAGTCTACCAAGAGTTTTTTTAGCAGAAAAGTGATATGACTGAAGTGATTTAAGAGGTCGCATAATTACAGATAAAGAAATTGGGGGCCCTAGGGACAAATGTTTAGCAACATGTTTAATAGGCAAAGAGCCATCTGCCAGGATGCCTGAGGAGGAGATACTCTGTCGGCCCCATCTCTACAAAGATTGACATAGTACATATAATGTTTTAATTTTCTAAAATTTTTTATTGATTTTTTTTTTAGAGAGAGAGAGGAAGGAAGAGAGAGAGAGAGATAGAAATATAGATGAGAGAGAAGCATCAACATCGATTGGCTGCCTCCTGAACGCCCCTTACTTGGGATCTAGCCTGCAACCTGGGCATATGCTCTGACTGGAATCAAACCAGTGACCTTTTGGTGCATAGGTTTGGTGCATAGGTTGATGCTCAACTACTGAGCCACACCGCTGGGGAGTAAATGTCATGTTTTAAAAGAATAAATAAAGAAAAGGAGGCAGCTTGGTTACACCCTAGAAGCATGCAAGGAGAACATCAGCCAGGAAGGGCCACTTTCTTCTGTTCCTGACCCCACCAGCACATCTCAATCCAGTGAGGAGATCTGTGTCTCCAGCTCCTGTCTGCATATCCAATGTCCAGCTGTCCTCCAGGAACACCTCTGACGTCACAACAGATGAATCAGGTTTTGGCATCATCCATGACACCCTGAAAAATGGGTGATGGGGTGGGGGAGCTTTTTTATCAAAGGATGCTTCCATGAGAGTAAACCCTAAACTTGGAGGGTTCCAGAAAACCTTTTCTTTGAAGTCAGCGGTGAATCAGCAACTCTCCCACACTCCTGTTAGAGCTACAACATTTATCCTCAGGCCTTAACTAGCTAACTAGGTCCAGCTGTATCAGTACAACTGTTGAGAGCCTTCCTTGAAAAAAAAAGTTCCCTTCTGGCTCGAGTCCTAACCCCGCCCCCACCACGGAGCCTGTGCTTTTCCCGTTTCCCTTGCAACCCCCCTCCTCTTGTTCCCAGGCACCATGTGGCCTGTGACATTTGCTAGGACTCACGTGGGTCGCCCTGCCTCGGGGCTCCGGTGATGACTACTAGGAACTTCCCAAGGACCAGGGCTCTGCAGGCTCCGACACGAAAGGGGGGAAGGGAGGGAGAGGAGGTAGAGGGGAACTGGGCTTCGGGAGAGCCCAGGGTGGCACAGGGCCAAGTTCTGGCGGAGTGGGGTTCATCTTCCAGCAGCCTGGCAGATGCCGGCCTTCAGTCCCTTCAACCCTCCGTTGGCGTTGCCGGAGCCCAGAGATACCTAGGCATCCTCTGGCCCTCTCCCTGACTCACTTCGCTGAATTTACACTCTCCTTTGTAGATTAACAGAGATTTGACTGTTCAAATTCGAGACCTCCATCTCCTTGCTTCTCTTGCTTAAAACTGGTGTGGGTGCCCAGGCCCCATTGCGGGCCTGAGGCAAGCAAAGTTACCTAGACAGCGCGGGGTGGGTGCCTCCGGGATCGCTGCGCACCGCTGGACAGCACCTTTCCAGGGCGCGCACCGCTGCGCACTGCGCGGCGCAATCTCATCCCACTGCTTGAGTCCTGCGTCCTTGCTCTTACGTTTGGCCTGAAGAGTGAGACTGTGAAGGTGTCTGGACGCTGGAGTTAGTGGTTTTAAAAGTCCTTGATGCCTATAGAAAGTACTAGAGGAAACCATTGCTCCTGTGGTGTTTCTTTCCTGAAATTGATAAGGGTCCTTTTGAAAAGTAAGTTTTTGAGGACGAGGCCCATCAGATATTTTCCCATTCATTTGAGCTTCTTATCATTCCTGCCGCTAACCCATTCATTTGAGCTTCTTATCATTCCTGCCTTTAAAATTCTGGTCACTATTGCACATTTGATGTCTTCACATGAAAACTCGGTCTAAGCCTCAGGCTGTACTCACACTCCAAAGCGAGTTTTCTCAGTGGCCTCAGAGGAAAGCATTAGTTGAAAGTGGCCAAAGGAAATGCACACGCAGGGATACATAGCCCTTTCAGTGGCTGCTGTTTGGATTTTTTTGTTTTTTTCCAACAAGAAAGGAGCTTGTTGGAAATGGCCCTGTAGGAGAAAGATGTGGGTATCTCTTTCTTAAAGCATATTCAGGCACATATCAAGAATTTAGGGCAAAGATCAAAAGAGGAGAGGGAAATTCCTGATGATTTTACTAAGGCTAAAATTCCATAGATTTGGCTAATACTATTTTTTCTTTCATGTCATCAATTCAGAATTCTATAAAGGAAGCAAATGACATCAAGGAAAATCATTGGCCTAGGAGAAAAAAGCCCGTAGGCGTTTAGGTGTTATATATGTGGAGTCAGAAAGCTCTGGAGCATCAGGGAGACTCCAACTTAAGGCAACAGCATGGGTGAATATGGACTGCTGGGAATAAGAGAGAAAGAGTAATGTCTGGGCACAGGTCCCTAAGGCTAGCCTTGCAGATCTAGAAGCAATTCAGTGTGGGTGGGAAGATTTTAGTATGAAACTGGGGTGGAACTGGGTTTCCAAATACATTGCCTGATGCCTTATTATTTGTTCTGTCAGTTTTTTTCAGGAAGATCTTCATTTTGCAACTGGTAGGGTTGGTGCTAACCTACAATTTCACTGACTGTAACTTTAAGGAGATTAGCAATGCTTACAAGAAAGTCATTATTTATGACCTGAAGTCATATATGAATGGGGTAAGTGAAGCAACATTTTTAAAAACAATGTTTTCATCAGAGGAGTAGACACACACACCACAATTTTACTTTCAAAAAAAGAAAAATAATTGGGGGGAGAGGATCATGGCCCAGCATTTTGTCAAAATTTTTTACAAATGATATTGAAATATATTGGCTTCTAAAATCACTACCGAGAAATTAGCACACATTAAGTGTGCTGGTGAGGAGCAGATATGGATAGGTAACACATGATCTGTCAAGGGTGTCTGTACTGGGCTGAACTGTTGCTCCATCAGTGCAGGAGAGAGGAGAGAGAGAGAGAGAGAGAGAGAGAGAGAGAGAGAGAGAGAGACTTGAGAAAGAGAAAGCTTGAGAAAAAAACAGAGAAGTAAAAGAGAATTCTTGTGAGCTGAGTCCTAACCAGTGAGGATAGCCCTTCAGGTCTATCTAGATGCCTCGGGGTGCCATTATGGTATAAGGTGTGCTTCAGATTGTTTAATACACAGTAGTGATCATTTTCCTAATTATCCTAATTTCTGGGTAGATCATGCACGTATGAAATGCATGAACAGCTGGCTACAGGACAGATGTGGGCATTCGAAATGGCATATTGCTCACCTGTGCATCCCTGAATGCAGGTGTGCCTACTTTGGTGGGGAGGGGGAGTCTCCCTCCAGGATCAGGATATCCAGTTTCAGATAGTAGACACTATCTGAAGACTCCAAATGTTTCACTTCCTTGTCAATGACAAGAACAGATGCATAGGAAACAAGTGCCTAAGTGGAAACTGCTTTCAGAGCATCTTTAAAACCTGGGAGCCACAGTGGGAAGTGGGGGGGAGGGGGTTCTCCTGTGACCACGTCTTTACCCTTCTCGTCGTGTGCTTTTCTTTTCTTTCTTCCAGGCGGAACGTACCCACTTCAACATCACCTATAGCTGTGACGATCAGGTGAGTAGCTGGGCAGTGAGATGCCAGGCACTCCGGGGAAGGGTGCCCTGCCTCGGCTAGAACTCCAGGTGGTAGATGGGCTCCCAAGCGACGCCGAGACCGAGTAGGGACGGCTGGGCTGCCGAAACTTCTGTGCTGCCGAAACCTCTGGGCTGGTGCCCAGCTTGGGACACTACTTCCGTTCCAATTTAGGGCGAGGAAGTCTCTCTCGAAACCCAGCGGGATTCCGGAAGAGGCTCCCCTGGTCCCGACCTCCGTGGGAGGAAAGGCAAATAGGGAACTGGGATCGGGGCCATCAGGGGCACACCCCTCGCACCCGGGGGGGGGGGGGGTGTCTCCACCTGTGATGCCGCCTCCTGGCAGCCCTTTGGGCCTGCGTCTGGGCAATGGCAGTAGCCGAGGGTCCTATCTCCCGCTGCGCACTTAGCTGCTCTCGGGATGTCCCCCCTTCTTCCCCTTCTGTGGGGTCTGTATCCCTCTCCTCACCCGAGACCTTCCATTCTTACCCGAATCCCATTTGGTGTGTCCCCCGTCCCCCCTTCCTACCTCTCCTACTGCACCTTTCATTCATTTCTTATCAACCATCTCTTTTTCTCTGTTTTTTATTCCCCCCCACCCCGCCCTGGCATCTTCTTTTCTCGAAAACGTTGCGGCTTGAGCAGCCGAACTGCCTCACTAAAATCGAGCACCTGACCTTCCATCCCGCCGCCCACTGCCCGTCACTCGCCAGGGAAACGTTCGCGGAAAAAACTAAGCGGGTGCTCACAAGCAGCTGCCCAGACTACTCGAGAACGCAGGTGAGCCAACGCAAAGCACTCTCGCTTTTTAGTATGTTGACGCTAACCTTGAATTAAACAGGGGGTTTTTGTACAGTGCAGAAGTCCTTGTGAGTTTTATTCAGGTTCTATCTTTTGGAGAGCAAATGAGCGAGGCTGTATGCAGATTGTTAATTAATCCCAGGTTGTCACCTTGACCGAAACCCACGTATTTCTGGGGTTCTGATTCTTTTTGCAGAAAACCTTAGGCGAATGTTGAGCCTCCTACATCAGAATGTCTTGAGCATGGGAGGTTATTAGCCAAAATACCGATTTCCAGGGATCTACACCCTCACAACCGTAGTCCCTGTGTATGGGCTTCTTAAGAGATTCTTATCCATTCTACAATTTGAGTAGCATTACTTAGGCTTATCGCTTAATAATTTTATGTTCTTTCTTAAAATGATGTTATACATCAAATCTTTACCTCGTGCTTGCTTAATTGCTTGTATGGGTGGTATTGCTGCCTTACATAGTGGCTTTTGCATATGCAGTTACATGCATTTGAATGAATGTATAACTTTAAATACGGACACAGTCGTTCAGAGTTAGGAGCAGAAAGTCTACAAACTTTCTTGCTTGACTTTGAATCCTAGCCCAAAACTTCTAATGGTGAAAACTTGGACAAAGTACTTAGCCTCTGTGTGCTCAGTTTCTTCTGCAAAATGAGGATCATATTAGCCAAGTTCCACACAGAGTGTACATAAGGATTAAATGAGTCAGTATTTGTAAAAGTGCTTGGAATGGTGCCTGGCATGTAACTACTCAATAAGTATTTATTCCAACATACAAGTAAAGCAGAGAATGTATCTTCCTGATAATAAAATTTAAAAAGACAAGGAGAAGCAAGTGCAGATATATGAGTGCCATCTGTTAATCAGTGAAGTTTCAGTCTGCACACTGAGTATGTCTGTGTAGCCAAGGCTGTCACTTCTTTAGGGACTGGAGATTGAAGCCATAGGGTGGTTCTGGCTGTTTGTGAAAAACTGGTTTGGATCTATGCCTTTTATCAAGGAGATTCTAGTAAATCTACAGATGGCCATAGTGAGGTTTATCCATATAAGAAGAACATAGAGAACAGGCTAGATCAAGTTCTGGACAGTAAGAAAGGGAGAGCCTGGAGTAATTTATTTAAGCCCTTTTCCAAGCCTAAAGAAAAGCCTAAGACCAATAATGCTAGATTACAATTTAGCAAATTTTAGATTGTAACCTTTTTGCTTATAACCTGGTGAACTTTATTAGCCCAATTACTGTGTGTCTAGGAGGTTCAGTCTGTCACTACCCAAGAGTAATTTAGGTGGAGGAAAACACCAAAATATATTGCAATCTTTTTTATTTAAGTTTAGGCTCCTCGTCAGAAAAGCCTTCAGGTGTCTGTGGCACATCTCAGTGATGGAAGGGACAGAAGGCAGGAGCACTTTGGATCCAAATAGGTTTACTGCATCGTATCTATAAGAAGCATCAGATATGTCCTGTTTTTTAGGAACTTATGATCTTGTCAGGGAGATCATGAAGTCATCAACTTATTCATTTATTTACTCATTCAAAAAATATTCAATGTTTCCTACATATAAAACATTCTGCTCAGTACTATGGGGAATACCCATGATGCAATAAAAAAAAAAAATTTAAGTGAGAGCCAAGTTAAATGAAAACACTGTGAAGCACTAGAAGAATTTTCAAAAGGAACGTCTGAGCAATCAGTTGAAGCCTTGTAAAGAAGCATGAGTAGGTGGATGGAAAGATGGGGGTGGGGGAGGTCATTCCTCTGGAGAAAGCCCATGGAAACAGACGGTAAGCAGGTATTTGAGGGCTACATGGAGAGCTGGATCTGCATAGAGAAGATGATATAACCTGCCACTCAAGAGTTGTTAAAGATAGTGACAATTAATTTTGATTATTGATTCTCTTATTCTACAGATAAATAATACCCAGGTAATGAAGAAACGAAGGAAAAGAGAAAAACCAAAAAATAACTGCACAGAAATAGTCTCAAACTTAATGGGATTGTGGGGTCGTTTCATTCGCGCTTCACGGAAACAAATATGACGTCACTGAAGTCATATTTCATACAACAAAATAAATCATCCTTATTAGGTAGATGGAATATTAATTCTGTGACATTTAAAAGATCACTACTAGGGTGTCTTTTTTAAATTATTATTATTACAGGATTTCTTAACTTATTTTTGTAAACTTTTATTGTTTAATATTGTTTAATAATATGGGGGAGGTACTACCTCTCAAATGTCGGGGACCCTTCTGTAGCATTGATGTCTGAGCCACTGGCTTTGGGACAGTAATTCTCAGCTGGAACCATATAGGCCTTATTCAAGGGAAGAATCTAAAAGTGTAGTAGAAGGAGAACTTTTTCTCTTTAAAAAGGAAAAAGTTTAACTGAATAACATGTAAACCTCTGTTTAAAAAGCAGGCATTTCTTTTGTATGTACTGATACTTCTTGTGTTCTCGTAGTAAAGATTTACAGAAGAAGGAAATAAAAGCAAAAGGGTACACATACAAAGTTGTACATATAATGGAGTGATTTGAAAGAATTTCGTATTAATATTGTAAAAGTATTTAAATCAAGTTTTAAAAATTATGTAACAGGCAAGAATAGTGTATGTGAGCAGATCTTGAAGAAGTGCATTTGTTAAAGCTAAAATAATATATATTTTTAAACTTATGGAACATTTAATTTATTTTGTAAGCACTTTTTAAAATGTGTATGTTGCTTTGTTATTGACACAATACATTTCTTAATAAAATAATTTTCAAATTCATTTCTTATGAATGTTCTTTTTAACATAGTTAGAAGATGATTTTCACCTACACACTTGTCTGAGGGACTTCACTTTTCTGCAGCTCTTTACCTCTGCCGGTCCTTGAAGCCCATTGACCACTCTGCCACTATAGAAAAAATATTTGGGGATGGATAAGTGGCTTCAGGATACTTTCTGAAAATTATTTTCTTAAATCATGTTTCTAGTCCTTCCTTCTTTCCCAGCTGGACTTCCCACACCTGGAAGAGACAAAGGTAAACAAGAGATGTTAAATCCATTCTTCTATTCTTGAACATGTGATGCAAGCTAGAGTCACAGGCACCTTCTCACTCACCCTCCACTCAGAATGCTCTGAAGAGCAGTGGGAGGGGCCAACCTAGGTATAACACCCAGGCCAATAGAGAGCAGAGAGGAATACACCGATTTACCCTGTAAGTGGAAACTTGCCCTGAGGGATGGTGCTGAGCAATGATAAAGAAGGGAAGTTCAATCTCCCTAAATCCATTTTATGTGCCATTGTGTAAGAAGAAGCTTACATTAGGTATCCCATAAGCATTGACAAAGTACCTACTGTGTGTCAAGCTTTCAGCCAAGTACTGGGGATACAAAAGGAAATAAGACAAAGCTTTTACCCAGAGAACCTCAAACTGTGGCTGAAAGCAGGACACACCTGTTTTCAAAAACCTTCCTTTAAAGACTAGGGCTAGGGCTTTAAATAACATCATAAGAGAAAATCCTTTGGCCAGTGTTTATTAATTTTCTGTGAAAAAGGTGGCAAAGGGGAAGACATTTAAGCTTATTAACTTTACCTTAGTAAGGATTCACTGACTACATTTCACTAAACTCTAAAAAATACCCTCACAGTTTCTCTCAAGGTTTTGGGTCTAAATTTCCTACAAGCAGAGAGGAATGAAGAATTGAGGAGAAAGAAGACAACTCAAGGTCATCCAACTATGGGCAGTTTCTTTGAGTTTTCGGCTTTATCTTTTAAAAATTCATGTAATTTATATATTGTATCCTATGTATCCCATAAATGTTTTAATATAAAAAACAATCACTTAAATTACTTATTATCAAGTAAAAGTAATGTGCAAAATGCTGCATCACATTAATGCTTTACTCATGTCAAAACCTACTAAGCCTATATAATCACTCAAATCTGAAAATTAAATAAATTTATCAAAAAAATAAATAAAATATTTTTAGATCTCAACTGTATTCCTTTCTAAATCTTACAAACCAATGAGAATTATAACAGAGAATAATGTCAAGCATATCTGGGTGTTTGTTTCTTTGTTTAGTGTTTCTTTTTTTTCATGTATACTTTCCAAAAGTATTAACTTTTCTCAAATTTTTTTTCTAGCTGTATCTTTGAGAATATCTCCTAGCTGGCATAGTATTTTTAAAATACAGCTATGCTTTTTGACATTCATCATTTATAAAATATCAACGGATTACTATTATGTAAAATTTATTTGTGCCTAAACATAAGGATAATAGTTTAAACATGAGGATAATCGCTAATTAACTTTCTTGAGTCTCAGATTCTACACCTCTGAAATAAGGATGATGCTGTCTATATTAAATAATTATTATGATAATTAAAGTACATAAGAAATATAAAGCCCCTGGCAAATGGTAAAAATATCTTAAATTTAGCTATGCAAGTGTCTATTTCATTATAAAGATGAGAAAACTTGTTACAGAGTTTGGTAAATCTTTTGGTTTTTAGCTTTCTTTCTAGACTTCTTTGTAGCAATGGAAAGAAGGCTGAAAAGTTTAATCACATAATTGTTGACAGCTTGGCAATTTTGAACTTAACATTTTTATTGAAGAATTTTGTTTCTGGCCAAGATAGAGTCTGGATTTACCCTCCTACCTGAAATGAAATCCCCTATCCCAACACACACATGTACCATAAGTAAAAACACACACAAAGACACAAAAATATAAAGAACAATGGTTTTTATAACGTTGGGCACGAGGTAATGAAGGACAGTAATCCTGAAAGAAGGGAAACAAATGAGATGAGCCTTATGGTCGCCCAGCTCCCTGGCTGGAGGGTTTCCTGACCACACCACGAGAAGGCGACTCAGGCAGAGCAAGCAGTCTTTCTGAGCTGAGGAGATAGGCTGAGTCCAGAGAGACTCTCAGTACCTAAGGAGAGAGGGGTACTTAGGAGAAGAAACACTGAGATCTGTAGAGGGCACCCTTAGAATGCCAGCTGAAAAATGCACAAGACTGGGGTGGGGGCACCTGAAAGTTTGAGAGTAGCTACCCAGTGCTCACTCAGGGCCAGGAAGATTGCCTGTTTCCACCACCCAGATACAAAAAATCTCAGTTCATTAGGCATCTGGAATAATCAGGCCAAGCCTAACAGCTGCAATGATTCCACCTAACAAATCTTAACAGCAAACTTAAAAGGATCAACCTGTTTTCAAATAACTTGGCTGCATTTTATAATAAACCTCAAGAATATGTAGAGGAATAAAAAATATCCAACAAGGCAGAATTCACAATGTTCGGTATGCAATTAAAGATGATCAGACATGAGGAAATAGGGAAAGACAACCCATGGTGAGGAGAAAAAGATTAAAATAACCCACAGATAACACAGAGGTTAAAATGAGAAGGCAAGGACATTGAAGAAATTTTTATGAAGGTTTCAATATATCCAAAAAATTCAATAAAGACATGGAAAATATAAAGACTCAAATCTCACTTCTAGAGGTGGAAACTACAATGTGTGAGATGAAAAATACAGTGGATGGCATGAATGGGAGATTAGATATTGCAGAAGAAAAGATCAGTCAACTCTCATGTCAAAGTATTAATGCCTTTGAGATTCTAATTAAGGTGATACTTTTCTCATGTGCTCATTGATGCACAGTTTTTATGACTCTGCTTCCTCCCCTTCTACTTTCTCTTCCGCTGACTATGGTTCTTATGCGGAGAGGAATGCCAGGGGATTTCAAATGGTATTGAGAATGAATATAGACTGTGTTTGGAGCAGATATCTTAGATATGAAAATCTCCAGAATAATTTAGTGTAAATAGATCACATGGATGTGAAGTTTGAAGAAGACCTGGTGAAAACTTATGAGTAGTGCTCACTTTATCCTAGTACAGTCTTTAACATATAGTGGATTCTCAGTAAATATGCTGAGTAAATGAATAAATGAATGGAAATAAAAGTAAAAGTTAAATGTTTTCCACGAAGAAACTGCTCCTTAAAGGTCATTGTGAGTCAGAAATTGAACTGGCAGCACCAACAATCAGATGAGCTACCAGATGTTTACTACCTTCTGCAAAATAAAAAGAAATAATTAAATCCCCAAATGACTGATGCTGCTGCAGTCTGCTACTATTTCCTACAGGCTTTTTATCCAACAATCCTCCTCCACATACCTCCCCACAAAAATTGCAATATAAAAATTAAACATGCATTTATTCAAGCATCAAACGTCCACTGAGCCTTTATTTGTATCATCCTTGGGCACACAGCTGAGGACATTGATAATTTAAAAATCTTAAAACTATCACAAGGATATTTATCATTTATGAACCTTGTGCCCCCACCCCTTCTGTAATGCAGCATTACTACTTCTATAAGGAAACACACACTATCCTTTAATTTTTTTTTTTTTTATATATGCTAACTTTCACACATTTCTCCAGGAATCATATAAGCTTTCCCCAGGTTATGGTGGGATAATAAAGAACCACAAATCTTGAAGGCTTGCAACAACACTTAATTCTCACTCAGTTTACAATTGGTAATTGCAAGTCAGCTCCAGGTCTTCTCCACATATCTTGTATTCCAGGCTGAAAAAGGAGCCCCTACCTGGGATATGCCTTTCTCTGGTGTCAGAGGGAAAGAACATTTACCAAAGCAAATCAAATGTTTCCCACCCTCCCCACAAAGGATTTGCTACAAGGCACAAGCAAACGGCAAGGATATAAATCTTCTTGCAGGTTGGAAACGTAAATATTTGGAACACTAAAGTAATATACACAACACGTTACTCTGGAAGGGCCATAAACTGATGTAAGAATGAAAGAGCATTTTATGTTTTTAGCATTTTATATATTTAAATGTGTTGTTTTTTTTTCCAATAAATATTTATTGAGCACCTCTTTCATTCTAGGCACTGTTCTGGATGCGTGTTATGTTATCAACAAGAAAAAAAATCTATAACATTATAAAACTTAAAATAAAATAAACCTAGTAAATAATAAGCCAATAGTGTAATAAAAAGCTGTTATTC